CTCCATAACTCAACTGTCATCTATCTTTACTGACTTTTCTTTGAACTAATCCTATTCTCTGTCTGCATCCAAAGTGCTCTTTCGCGATGTGTGTGTGTGTGTGTGTGTGTGTGTGTGTGTGCAGGCTGCGGGGTCCCAGAGTTACTCAGTTTATGGTCTCTCGCCTAATCCTACCCATTTCGAATATCATTTTGCAAAATATTTTGTTTAGACGAGAATCGCACACGAGTGCTATGAGATTGTAAACCGAAACTTGCTACAGTTGCCCTTGTTTTTCTATTCTCCAGAGGCCATTTCGTGATACAGAAACCTTAACTCTCGTCTATCTGTCTGTCTATCATTAAAGTATTGACGGATACCAGTGGTAAGCGGTAGGTTGCAATGAATAAGCAAGTACAAGACCAACCAAGCGATTCCCTGTTTTCTTTGCCTCTTCGATCATATCATACGCACCAGTTCGTGTGTGAATGTGTGCGTGCATGCGTGCGTGCGTGCGTGCGTGCAGCACTAATGTTGCTAGCACTTTCTTAGTAGTAATAGTAGTAGTGATAATCCAAAGGAGTACCAAAACCGATGAGATACGTGTTCCGCGGTGTGTGTCGCGGTGTGCAAAGTTCACATGACAAGTAACCGGCATGCACGTAGGTCATTGGGGGAATACAGTCCGACTGTAATTTATGATAATCAATGCGGAAAGAAAGTGAACGGGAGGGAGGGAGGGAGACTGTATATATTTACGATTATTGTGTGAGAAATGCATGTGCACGCACACACGCATTATCAGTCCGACGGGTGGTGATCGGTTATGGATCATTCGGGTGAGTGGCGAAAATCCCAATACGGTTGCGAATACAGCACCCGGTGAGGAATCCTCGATACGGTTAGAGTTCAGAAACACTTCTTTGCCTCGGACAGCACACATGATTGCATGCTCGCGATCAGAATGATGCCTCATGCAAATCTTACCGGTAAACACATTTTTATTATGCTATGTCGCCCTTCCCAAATAACTTTCACCTTAAAATCAGATAAATAAACACCATAGTAAACGCCATAGAATAAGTTCATTCCTTCAGTCAATATTTGATGATGACTTGTGGAAAGATGAAGACACTTGTCGACAGAACAGTCAAAAACGAACAAAAAAGCATTTTTCCAAAGAAAGAAAGAAATAAATGCTAACCTGCACATCCAGTGGAAAATCATTCAATTCCAACGTTTCCAGAAACAATCCTTTGATGCGTCTACGTTCGAGGAGATAGACCTCGCCCGCATCGTTTCTCTGTGCCATCATCCACTGGGTTTCTTTGGTTTCACTCAGAATGTTATCGATGTAAAGCAACGGATTCCAAAATTGTTCCAATTCCGTAATTGTCAGTTCCTGATATAAGAAAATCAAAACGATATCCATAACACGCAACCAAGCGTATCGGTTACTATATGCGTTTCGATTCCGTCTAAAGCCAGCACAGAATATAGAATCAGATTCACTTCTTCGGAAACGGTGGTGTCCTCAGGTTTGGAATATTTCTAGCTGAGTCACAACCCTCGTGTTTTGTACTGAACTAAGCAATTTATGATGCCCGAAATCAGTCAAATTGTACTCTATCAGGTATGGGAAAATCGAATCCATGATCTGATCAGCCACCTGGGTGGTAGATGGGTAATATCTTTTTGTTCTACCTATGAAATTCTGGTCTCCATCCCCAAATCAGTTCAATGGATTGTCACTGCTTGTCCAAATCAACTAAATCGAAACAGCTGCTAGGTTCTCAGTTATCTTCACCTTTGTTCTATACACTGCAAAATCAGCCACTTTGAGAGTGCAACACTTTTTCAAGCTCATCTTATACGCTTTTAGCTGTTAATTTTTCTCTAAAGTTGCTCGGAGTTACAAAAAAGCACTGTCAGGATGAAATGGTTACTCGAAAAATGTTCTATAAGACAAACACTATGCGGGTTACAAGGGCAGGATCATATGGTATATTAAAGTACATAGTAACACTATTTCATAACCACATCATAATTATCCAAGGTGGAGGCGTATATTTAAATCTCATAAACGATAAGGCTAAGCAATGGGTAGCAAATGTGTAAATGTTGGAATGGATTTTCTCTTAGAAAAAGAATTACTATAGAATTTGCAGAATCACTAACCTGAAGAGAGAATACGTAGTTGAGTACTGCAATTCAAAGACAGCAGATAAATAACTTTCTCAGATACTTGAAAATTTAAATCAGATGACGTAATTGTATCGTTTTATTGTGGACTATTCTATTCGGATTTAAGCTAGAGCGCCTGTCAAGACCTGAGGTAATTCCACATCGAAATTGGTGGTAGTGGTGATGATTCAGCCAAAATGCGCAGCGTTACATCGATCTGCATCTCACTTTCCAACCCCACCCTATCTGTCCGATTTTCCTCCTCTGTTTGTATCACGTGACCATTCCGTGCTGAGGCCTCTCTCTAACCCATAAAATTTGATCGTTTCAAATAAAGTGAGTAAAAATCAGAAATAACAACGAACAAATACTGAGCATCCCCGTTCAATCCCACATTGCTGTCCCACGGTCAATCAATTCAAAGTTGTGATCAAATTGAAAAAATGAGAAAAAAAAACTACACCTGACGGGGATAGTTGATCGATATATTGTAAACGCCCCAAGGCAGGCATAAATGCATCAGGAAAAGTGACAAGCACTCTACAGTTTGGTGTGCCATTACACAAAACATGGGATTTCCTAAATTAATCGCCTAGCAAGCAGCAAAAAGTGTCAAAGGGTAACAATTCATCCGGTATTTAAAAAAGAACCCTATGGGACGTAAACAAATCACGGAGAGTCACTCACCTCGGTAGTCCTCTCGTCCAACTTCGGTTCACGCCATTTGGCTTGAATAAAAGCATCCGCGTAGTACAATTCCTTCAACGTGTCAATTTCACCGATTTTCAAAAATACCACCCGCACTTCTACCTCAACCTGGGAAATAGCGAGACATGAGGGGATAGTTTGTCGGTGATGAATAGGTGACCGAGAACACTTCGGAATCCGTGCAAAAATTCATTTGATGAGTGGATAAAATAGTGGCCCAATACATTTTGATTAGTAATTAGAAAAGTGTCAGAAGGTGACATTATAATACACATTGTTAGAAGTGTTTTAGCATAAGCGTGTAGATGATTGGAGAATTCAAGAGGAATCAACTGTAAAGCATAGAACATGCAAGCCTGAGCGCGATTAAAGAGTGACACCCAGTGCATCATTCCACATTGGGCTAGACAGTGGTCTATCGATTGTTGCAATTATCAGTAAGAATAGACGAACTATTCTCCCGTGGACCGCTCAATGTGTTCCCATGTTAGCTGGTTACTTTTTCTTGGATAGACTTTGTAAAGACCTTTCCGATGTTCTCCGGAAACCACGAATTAAATGCGAGTTTAGAAATGTACCCGTTCCAAGTTATCACTTATTAGGCTAGTAGAATACAGAGCAGTCTTGTTAAACGACTGGTGTGATTGATGCTGTCGGGGGTAAATTTACTTCTCGCTTTTCAGCCCGAGTGATTTCTGAGAAGATGGTCAGGCATGCTGGTTGTGGCAGTCCCATGATCTGCACAATCGTGATTGTGCTCTAGTTCGGCGAAACCCGTTGGACCGAGGCCAAGCTGCTTCAAGACTATTGTCCAGCTTGATTGATGTAATTCTACCTCTGGTTAAGCAGAGCTGAATGCTACCAGGTGCGTCTCCGCGTTGTAAATAGTGGGATACCTTCACCGAAGGTTTACTGTGAATAAGCAGTTGAGAATAAACAGCGGCGGCACAATTAAGCTGTGATGGATTTCAGGCTGGTCATCTGACTCCTGTTTAAAAGCCGCACACGCCCAATGACGGTGTCGTGACAAAAGTCGATGTGACTGACCTTTTAAAACTAAGGTCATTGACCCCGTCACTTCGGAGGCGAGGGATTACTTCCTGCTACCTTGTAGTTCGCACCTGGTTATGCAGAGGCTAGAGGTGCACCCTCGAAATCAAATAAAAAACGCCGAGTGACGCTGGGGACGTCTCTCGTGCTGAATTCCCAAGGAATTTCATGATCGTGATCATGATCATGTCTGGAACTGGCTTATCCTTTTTAAATAGCCGGTAGTTAACTTTGATTTCTTTTTTTCATTCCCTGTATACTTTGTTAACTCTCCCGTACCCCAATTACCCCTTAACATATTCTGTGGAATAAATTGTTGAATCTGGACAGCAGTGAACTGGTTACCGTTCACAGGAAACAGAGTTCTTGCCACGATTGACGTCAACGGTCTCGTATTGCCGGTTAACAATACAAAGTCTGTTCCGTCTCCTTTTAACCGAGTGACCGTAATCATTTTGGCAATCTGTGACACATTTACGGCCAATGTAACATCCAACTTGCACTCAAGGGAATTTTGTGCATCAGTGTGGTTCGAAAAGTTGGGAGCCCTGAGCTTTACACACAACGGACGGTTAGGGTCACCGTGCGGTCGATCAGTGATATCTGCTCGTTTCTGTTTGGATCGTTGATCGGGAACAACGAGGCTCTTTGTTGAGCTGGATAATTATGATGATGATAGTAGTTCTCTTGAAAAAATGAAACCGGTATACAGTACTGGCCGACTGTGATGCACTAAAATATTTTCTTTATGATCAAAGGGAGTTTCATTATATTTATCACCCATAATAATGCTTTAGTTACGGACAATAATTTATGTCTTGTCTACTTCGACGTACGTAGTTTCTGGGCTGCATGATTGTTAATTAAACGTGTCTGACTTACATTTTGAACCATTCCATCTGCTGATCATAAACGATTCAGGAAAACCACGGATATAAAGACTCTCCAAGACTTGTTTACCATTAGTTTTGAAAAAAGTTTTCTTCAGTATGAATGCTGCTGCCCATACGAACCGTCAAGTGTTTCACCGGGACCTGTTGCTTCAGTTTCGATTAGACCTGTACATTATCCCCGACTGCATAGTCAGTTCTCATGTGTCTGTCTATCCATTCTACTTCTCCGGGCTCTCTTTGCAAGTAATGAACAAGATGGAAGATGCAGTGCGGTTGTGCCAGATCGTGGAGCTGGTTATGAGGTACGATGCCATTGATTTTGTTTGCTTCAGTCTGCCCTTCAAGTTGAAGCCCAGAAAAACATGTTGTTCTTAGTTAGGGATATGTGGTTTGGAAAATATATCACTTGCACGATTACGGGGAAGGCTGTCTGTTGAAATCCAATATCCCATAAAAAGACAAACGAACAAATAGGAGCATTAAATAGTGCACGGTGAAATTAATAAATTGTACTTCTCCTTCTGATTCTCTGTACGTTTTTCTCTCACATGTTTCTCAGTTATAAACCAAATCGCTCTCTGTCTATGGTCATTCTTTCCATATGGAACATTCGTTTCCTATTCATGAATTTGACTGTATTGATCTTCTCAGGACTTCGGCTACAAGATGCTAAAATATCGACACACCTGTGATCTACAGTGATTCCACTTTCTTCACGCTTTTATTTCTGTTGTACCCTTTACAGCCAGCAACTTGATTTGTGCGCTGCACATCATTCACAACCAATTGCAACTGATTTCAGCCAACCAGATGCTCGGTACCCATCGATCTTTATATTTCGTGCTCCCACCCCCACCCCCGCTCGTTCCTATGATTCCTTCGGACCGTGTTTTCCTTCTCACGTATGTGTGTGTGTGGTCTGTGGACCAGTCACTTCGATGTGCTACCACACACACACACACACACACACACACACGGACAGTATTAGCATCTCGTAAACCCCAAACTGACCTCCGACGCTCGGGTGATGATGATAATAATGACGATCCGCCCGGAGTAGGCGACCGGCGGCAGTTGTGAGAACCGCCGAAGCAGCCCTTGCCAATGTCTTCGGCGAAAAGTGAACACGCACGCACTGATCGAACACGCGCGCGGGTCACCCTACCACGTCTGGTTTTCTTCATTGGTCAAGGGTTAAACTTTACTTCAAAAGATAACGCACTTGATCAGTGTCAGCAAAGACTCATTTGCATTCTTCGGGGGAATTTCCGCCAGTTACCAG